AACGTTTCATTCAATCCTCTGAAGGCTATTAGTAGTATTCATTTGAAAAAATACCGATACTGAAAAAATAATACCGATAATATCACGATAAAAACACTGTTCTGAAACATTTAAGAAGAGTTTTAATTTCAATCTACCTTGTCCAATCTATCTTTGTATTCAATATTTTTAAAAAATCAAAATAATACCAATATCAATAACGAATACTTTTTTAATATTTGAACAAGTACAGTGAACATATCATTACAATTCCAGATGTTATTTTACCTGGCGGTCTTCCCATGCCTGAAATTTAAACTCAAGTGAAGGAAAATGAGTGATAATGATGCTAACAGAAAATGCTTCCCTATCTGGATTTAGAATCATATTAGGATTTAGAATCATAATCAACATCTGGATTTAGAATCATATTAGAATTTTAGATTTAGAATCATATTAGAATATATTAGAACGACATTCAGAATCATATTAGAATATATTAGAATGACATTTAGAATCATATTAGAATCTTATTGCAATGTTTCATGATCTCCATTTCCAGTCACTACTCATTGTTGTGACTTTAACTAATCGAACAATGTTTTCACAATATACAGTAAAGTCATGTATATCTTTTTGATTCATGTTAAATTTTCTGAAGAAATGTAGAGTACGAATACATAATACAATATCCTTCATTACTCATGTTGAAAAACACAACAGCGAAATCGTACAAGGAGTTTTGCACAATGGAACAGGTCTACAGTAACCCTTATTGATATTCAGTACACTGCATGCTGTCCTTGAAATTTTATTTTTAGAATTTAAGTTTTGTACTTCATTTTAATGAACACTCTGTTTCTTAAAAGACATATATGTTTTTTACCGGCTGGGAGGTCCGGATAGAAAAATATTTTGTCAAGGTCTCAAAAACGGCCCGAGGCCGAAGGCCGAAGGACGTTTTTGAGACCGAGACAAAATATTTTTCTATCCGGACCGACCTAAACGGTAAATAACGTATTTATTTTTTTTGTCGAAGAAGGCAACGGTTTTATTAGATTGCGCATATAGAAAACAAAACAATAAAAAATTGATATTTAATTATTTTACTTTAAAATACAGTACAATTATTTTATCCATCATTAAAATTATTTCAAAATTACATATTCATATTTTTCAGTTTTAAAACAAACATACAAAAAATTTTTGCTTTGCTTCGGCCATTACGTATAGGATTCCGGACCGTGGTCAAATATCGTAAAACTCCGCCCGCTGCTGCAGCCAATCAGATTGCAGAAACGGTCCACGCGCGGTGCGACGAGGGGCTCTGGCCAAATCCATAACCGGATACCATAAAAACATGGTAAGAAAACAATATCCGCTGTTAGAACTAGCCAATCAGATGCCAGTTCGGAATATGGATTTGGCTCTGGCCCCTCGTCGCACCGCGCGTAAGAAGGGCTCTGGGTACGAGAATGGGATTCCGCCTGCTGCTGATTTACAAAAAAAAAAAAAAAAAGTTATTTTAAAAGATATTATCACATGAAAAGGATACTGCTTCCTTGGGCCAAACGTCCTTTAGTCCCAGGCTTCAGTGCACCAGAGGGAGGTCTCTTTCCAAAATTACTCCTGCAGATAACACAAATAATGGATAATGTAACCTTGGCCAGCCGACAATTTAAGAAAATATAATTCGACAGAATTTTTCCCAAAATGAGAATGATGCATAACCATATTGAGCAGCACCACTTTCCTTTTGACATGTTCAATTGTCTGGCATTAGACAGTCAGTAAAATACTAAGTAGGGCAAAACTAGGGCACATTGCCACTTAAAAGGTTAATATAGCTAATGGATTATTTGAAACCTGAAATATTGATGTATTGAATGAAAGGATAAAAATCCACTTGTCCCATATTGTATTGGAAAAAAGTCGGTAATTTCATTTCAGAGACATTTTTGGTGGCAATTGAGAGGACTACGCTTTGAAGTTTGCAGAGTTTCCAGACCAGATGTCAAATGGCTATGTTGACATAGTTTGAGATTAAAACAATATAATTATATATAATTCTGAAATTAGTACTTTCATGCAGAGTTACTAATGTATTTGTTTGTACTTGTCACTCTGAAAAAAATTAAAACTGCCAAGTACAACGAAAAATGTGTTGTCTCCCACGGGAATCAAACTCACATCTTCAAGTTTAGACTGCCACTCTACCCATTCAGCTATATTGAGTGAATGAGGATTGATAGCAAGTCTTATCCAATTTAAGTGCATGAAATATCTTCAACTTAACACTTGTCTTCACAGATGTGACCTAGAGGGGAGGCCCTTAAAAATCGGGCAATTCTACTTCTTAAAAATTGCGCGAATGATGAAAGGGAAGTGCTACAGGTAGTAAAATCATCGAAAAAGGTAGAAATTTCTAATGTTGCAAAAATATCTTTAACTCATTGAGCGGCAGCACTCTCCCCTTTATAAATAAAATCGTCTGGCATTAGACAGCTGAGGGTAAAATAATAAAGTACTGTGGAGTGCATCAGGGCGTGTGCACATCACCACTTGAAGGGGTAACTACTGCAATGTCTCGCAATTTTTTTGCCATCAACAAACTACAGAAATTATAGGTTTATCACGATGGAATTTCTTTTATTGGGCCATTTGTTGGGCAGTGGCATAGCCATGATCTAATCTTTAGGGGGCCATTTTGAATGCAAGCGCCATTTGGCATTTTGAATGCAAATCTTTAGGCCATTTTGAATGCAAGCTGCCAAGCGCCAAAGACGTGAGAAACTAAGGGGTCCAGGCGCATGCGCCCAGAACACTATTTCATCATGATAACAAAATGTCCGATGACCTTGGGTTTAGGTCGGACATAATATGTAAATTATGTATGATGATATCCAATGACCTTCAGTTCAGTTTGGCTCAGAAATAAATCTGAATGACACAAATTAATATCAGCACGATATATTATTAATTCTGAACGGTAAATGCTGCCCCGCGCTCTATTACATTAACACAACATTTCCAGTTAACTTTTTGTACATCACTCTGATCATATAGCCTATCGAAGGGAAGACGGCTGTGAAATTCATTAGAATAACAATATAACTTATTATCTATGTTGGTCAACGTTTATTCATAAATCTGGTCCTTCACCGTCACGTGTGTGTTGTATTTGTGTGGAATGTTTTAGGAAAGTCACCTATCTGTGACTCGAACAACAGGGAAACTGGAAATTGCTATTGGTGGATTTGGTAAAAATACAATACACACGTGATGGTGAAAGGACCAGATTATGAACAAACGTTGACTAACATAGATAATGAGTTATATTGTTATTCTAACGAGTTTCACAGCCATCTTCCCTTCGATAGGCTATGCTGTAATTTTCCATTTTAAAACAATATGTTACATTTTGGTTTACATTGAACAAAGCTACTGTATAGTTCGGTCGGACAACAAATGAATAAACTCAGATCGGACAAACAATAAACCTCATGTAGATTCACTTAGGTCGGACAGAATGTCCGGTGGGTTCCTCTCTCCGTCGGACAAATTCACGAATGGGTGGACAATGTCTGTGACTGACCGATTATTTTAATGCCTGATTTAATTTCATGTTTTTAGGACAAGGTTTGAAGAAAAGATACAACCACAGAAAGCCATTTTTAAGTTGCCTAATGTTGTTATATCGAAAAAATATTCATGTAAAACATTGTACTGTACACACAAATACAACAGCAGAATAATACAATGTCTTCATTTTTGAAGTGATAGTTATATTGTAATAAAAAGAAATTAAAGAATGAGGCCCACTTGGCCACCATATCTGACTTTGAAGTCACTCATGACCGCTGCTATGCGCGTAAATTCAAGTCCAAATGTGCTTTTAACCACCATAGGCATTTACTGGAGTTTAAGATTCTAGATAGATAGAGACTACAACTTCTATTAGTAAACGGAAAAAATGGGTATCATTATTCATTGTTCACACATCGTACCTCCCCCCCCCCCCATTTCTGCCCGGATTTCAGGGATTTCTTCCAACCTTGGCTACTCAATTTCCATCAACATTTATCCAACCCCTCTCCCCCCCTCCCAATATTTTTCCTTCCATACACCTATGTGTGTCTTGGAAAATGTGCAATGTGTTTCAGGGGGATTGATACAAGTCTTTCCCAAGTTAAATTAAGTGGACAAAATATTTTGATTATTTTTGCAACAACATAACCATTGTCTTGGATGAAGCACAGCGTTTCAATTCAGAATCATCTGCAGAGCTATGAAAAACTAGTCTCACTCATTGCATATCCTCCAAGCCATGTCACCCCAAAATTAGTAGATCTTTAGAACACTTGAATACTTAGAACACTTGCTCCTTACGAAAAAAGTCTATAGGTGGCCTATAGGAAATGTTCCAATTCCCTCAGATAGAAGCCTTTAGGCATCTATAGAGCTCTATAGGATTATAGGCATCCCTATAGGTCACCTATAGAAAATGTTCCTTTTAAAAGCTATAGGTTTCCTATAGGGGCTTATAGGTTGGCCTATAGGCCAGGCCTATAGACTTTTTTTGTGGAATTTTTATCTTTAACATTATTTAGCTATATCATATTATATTTTTAAGTTGTTGCGTCTTCTCACTTTAAATTGTAAAGCGCCATTGGGCTATATGGAAACGGCGCTATAGAAATTTCTGTATAATTATTATTATTATTATTATTAAGACTTGCTACCAATCCCTGTTCAGTCAATAGCAGCTGCTGGAAAATGTTAACAAAATATTTTCGCATGAAATTTTTGTTATCTTATACTGAACTGTCAAATAATTTACTCATTGTAACAATTCCAAAATTGTTTTTCAAGTCGAGATTGTCTTGTGCTGAGATTGAAGTTTACGACAATGTGCGTCACCATGCGTTCTCTGAAACCTACATATGCAGTACGTTCTATATTTGACTTACACAGGAAATTCTTATTTTTGAATTTTGAACTATATTATCTACGCCTGCTCAAAAGCTCAGTGAGTTTGAGCAGCAGTCTAGAAACCTAAAGATACAAGTTCGAATCCCACTCGAGACAATGTATTTTTTATAGCAAATGAATGTACATGAAATTTACATTTAAAAAAAATAAATATTACATTTTCTTTTAGTTTAGTCTAGGACATTTTCTTTTAGTTTAGTTTTTGTGATTTGTCGAAAAACATAGACAATACTGTATCTTAGCGAAAAATATAGATAATACCGGTATATAAATTATAGACTACCGGTACTGTATATATAGGGTATTAGACTATAGATGAATTTGACTGACTCTTGAATAATTAGTTCGCAGTATTGCAACAGAACAAGACGTTTGAGTGATTTTTTGGAATGAATCGACACACAATACACCAATAGCAATTTGCCACATATTATTTTCGTTTGCATGGCAGATATTCACCAGTTTGTCTTTGAGTCTTTGGATAACATCAATACACCAATAATAAAACCAAAATCCAAATCTCTTACAATAAATACTTGGTTGGGGGTTCACTTATATTTTATAACAAAATGAAAATGTACAGTATATCAACACAGCCACGGGTCACCAAAAACCGTTGGCCAATAATGAGTAATCAGTATATTATTAATTATATTTTTATTTTATAACCAATTTTAACCCCACATTTGGAGTACGCTTGAAAACAAAACAAAAAACATTTCTGAATATAACTCCAGGCAACAAAGTCAAAGAACACATATAAACAAATTTCTACATATTATCATCTCCCAAGCGACACGTTTCCCATCCCACGCTATGGGATTCTCGTCCTGTGAAATTACTCGTCCTGCGGGATAGATTTCCCATCCTGAGGGATAGATTTTCCATCCCGAGGGATAGATTTTCCATCCCAAGGGGTAGATTTTCCATCCAGAGGGATAGATTTTCCATCATGAGGGATCCCGTCCCGCATGCAGGACTGTTAAGTTTCCTGTGATCGGTACATCCCGTCGGGACTGTTAACTTTCCTACAGGTGATCGTGGTACTGTAAAATTGAAGAATTGCAATTTGCAAATGCTTTAGACAAACCAAACATGTTATTATTTTGCAATACAATATTTGGACATTCTCATTTTACTCAATTTATTACCCACTGGGTAATTTCCATGTTGTATTGACAGAATGACAGTATTGATAACATATTTTTAAATATAAATATGTACTTAATACATTGAATACATGTTTATTGGTAATATGAAGTTAGTTTAAATCAAGAAATGCTCCTCATTAGTTAATAAACGAAAACTCTTTATCTCAGATAATTTTACACACGTATTATTAATTCAGTAGCTAGAGGTAATAGCATGCCATGGAGATATATAAAACAAACCACTATTAAAATACGAGGAGAAAATTGTCATACAAAGTACAAACTGTAAATGTAGTCAGCTTAGAACACTACTTACATTTTTTAGCTGCTTTTGAGGAAATATAGTTATCTTGAGATGCTATTTAAACGTACGTCAAAGCTTTAAAAAAGTATGCAGCGTTGCTTTCTTTATTTTCGAAGTATTCAACTATTCCAAGTATTATAAAAACAAGATGGCCGAATATTACCCAGTTGTCTGGGTTACAAGGTGAACACAGCAAACCCAAGCAAAAATTAGTTTTACAGTATTGCCCCCTTGTGACATATAAAACTGGGGTGACTCGAACTTCTCCGCCATAGCCCCACAGGCCCCCCACTGTTGGCCCTTCCAGTAAACTATGTTGCCCCCCGGAGGAAATGGGGGAGGGGGAGCAGAGAAGCAGGAAGGTGACCTTTGTCTAGCGGATAAAATATCAAAAATTGTGTCTATTAAACTATTCCAATTTTCTTACTATTGAGGATTATATATGGGTGGAAAAAGCCCAATTCTGTTAGTAAATATGTCGTTCAGAAACAACTGAACTCATCAGTCCTGTGGTTGCCAGCATTTACCTTTCCACAACGAAAAATAAAATTTGAAACAACTACATGCAGAGATTGAGGCATGCAGCTAAAAAAATAATTAAACCATCGTTGTTCGTTTCATTTTTCCCTAATGTTTTTGTCAATTTCTCCACATTTTAGTTATCATTATTAATTTTTAATCAGAGTCACTCAAATATTTTAATTTTTTCTTCCTGTTCAAATTCATGTTTTGCCGGCTACGAAAACAACGACTTCTTGATAAATCGGGGTGTTCGCCGGCCCTGCCTCTATTACTGCCCTCCACTACACTCGTGTGTTAGTGTGAGCGTCACGAGAGAACTGTGGACAAGCTGGCTTTACATCACCATGCATGCATGGTCGAATATTTTATTTCCTGATTCAATACTGCCGGTCCAATGACAATGCATGGGCTCTTCAATCATCTGTTAAAACCATTACCATTAAAAATATATACCATCTTTTCCCAATTACCAATATATGCATGCTCGCTGGATTGAATTACAAATGTTGGCAAATTTAAAATATTTACTTTTGGCGAGCACTGAATACTGAGTCGTACCTAGTGGGCTAAGTTCTACAGCATTTCCACTGACCGTTCACTTGGTTTCCGCGACTGTAAGCAGTAAAATGACGGATGAAACACATGGCATAATGGCACGAGAGGTAATCAAATTATTATTGGTAGTACTAGATAGTTGATTGGCCACCGATACCAATTGGTTATTAGGAATTCTTTTAAGTTCTTTAAAAATACTGCGCATGGTGGGTGCTTGCAATAGGGTAGGTGTGGTGGCTCTATGTTTGTGTGGTGGAAGCCGCGTTATTTGTGGTATTTATAGGTATATATAAATATATGTAAAGCCTGACTCCATTACTGACGCAAGACAATCTTATTAATTCGACAGTGTCCGACTGAGGCCGATGTTGCAAAAGGTTTTGTTTCAAAATTGTTTAGAAATATACAAACGTTCAAATGTAATGTGTCAATTTACGGTGCGATGCTGCATTGTGCTTAGTTAAACCAAATGTGGCTATCGGGGAGTCAACAATGACTAATGGTTAACGTTTTGGTTTTTTTCCTGCAGTGATCAACGCCAATTGATATGGATTCAGTATAAATTATACAGTGTCGATCATGTAGTGTGTGAGAATGACACCACTTCATTCCACTAGTTTTTGCCATTCTCGGCATTTTTCAATCATTTACCACCGGTGAGCAATGAATGTGATGAAAAGTGATTTTTCAATCCTTAAAATGCTGGATGTTTGGTGCCAGGGGGTAGCGAAGAATACTCTTTTTGGGGGGGAGGGGGAATGAAGAGCCTTCGCTCCAAACTGCAAGCGTCGACGTTTGATCTTATACTTCAATCTACAGTATACATCACTATGTTCCAGTAAAACAACACATTATCTCAAATCCACTACAAAAAACCCCGAAAAAACGAAGTTAATTGCATAATTTCGTATATTGCAATTTGCAACTGCGTTATACCCGCGCGACTTGATGTCTGCTATAAATAAATAAAATATTTTTTTACTTAAACTTCGTTCACAATTGTATGCTGCCAAATGGCCCAAATGCGTGGGTTAATCCATGCCTAGACAGAATCCATGCTATAGACAGAAGAGTCTCTTAAATACTTATCACACATTATGGTAATTAAAATACACCTGCATGGGCAGTCATTTTTTATTGCTTTTCATACTACAGTACAAACAAACAACACACTAGCCTGCGCAGACTCTATATAGTGACATATATACAGGGGCGTAGCTAGAGGGGGGTATGTGAGGAGGGGGACTGTAACACCCCCCATTCATCATAGATTCTGCAAATGTCTGATAGACTCGGCAAATGTCCGCTAGAACTATCAGAAAATTGTTTTCGGAAAATAGGAAAATTGTTTTCGTTGTGAGCGAAAATATTTGAGAGGCTCGGAATTAAAAATTATGATATGTCGGGAAAATTTTTTGTATTTTCGGAAAAAATATGATATGTCCGGAAATATTTTTGCATATCCGGAAATATCTTTGCATATCCCCCCTCGCCAACAATTTTGAGAAAAGAAATATTAATTAGCGGGTATAATGACTCGGCAAAATTTGCTTTGATAACTCGGCAAAATTAACTTACACCCCCCCCCCAATCAAAGAGGTCTAGCGACGCCCCTGCTTATATATCATATTATAACAACACACGTTCTTTAGATTGTAAAATTTCTTTGGCTGACTTCGTCTTAGTTACCCAGTATAGACCCATTGCACTGACGTCACAAATCCTTAGAGTGCCCTCCAGATGCTCCCTAACAATATCTGTTCGGGTACAACAACCACATACAGCGCAAAAATGAACCATTTTAATACAAAATTATTATAAAGTTTTACAAAATTTGCTTTGTTTACAAAAGTTATATTATGCATAGATTGCTAATTTGTCCTCCAGATGCATCGTCACCGGCGCTGTGACGTCATGTGCAATGGGTCTATACAAGCCAGTATCAGGGCCGCCTAGAAGTTGCGAGGGGCAAAACTTTCTCAGTGGCGCCTACGACATCATAGTTAATTTTAAAACAAGAGAAGTGGTGTTTTTCACTATATATAGTTGCACTTTGTTGCATATTAGAGAGCTTAAGATGCACCAATTCTGCGACGTGGACGCGACTAAACAACAGTCGCTAATAATGGGAGATTAGTTTTACTTTGTTTTTTCTCATGTCCCTAGCTTTGTTTACCTTACCAACAACAAATCAACAATCCATAGTTTTACCCGTGAAGTGAAACTGTGACAATAGCGGCAGTTTTTCGTCACGTCTGCGTCGTAGATTTGGTGTGTCTTAAGCTCCCTAATTACCTAATATCCAGCACTAACGCAGTTAGGACTTGTGTTCTCGGTTAACAATCTTGTATTAAGAAAATTTAAAAGACCTCGTCGCTTTGCTTTATTGTCTGCATCAAGAGGTCGACGTACTGATTATAAGAAAGGGACATTAATTTTATCTATTTTCCAGTGGTGTAGTACGCACTGAGCGTGTTAAAACGAGGTTCTCGGTGCGCATGCGTCCGATGCGTGTAACAAAAACTTGTAAACTCGCTTCTTCTAATCTGGTACGGATATAAAAGTACTTTCACGCCTGAAGGGAAACCGCTGCAGCTGAAATTCTTATGAAGATTGTAGCGGTATAAATTTTGATGAATTATCCCTACATAAAGAAACAATATGAAGAAGGAAGAATATTCCTTATCACAATATCTTGACTGCACCTGCTAGTGTCAAAACGGGTAGTAAACAAGCAGCAAAAAAGCAGCTGTTAGTAATGGAATACTCCAAACAAAATTGTTAACAAGCTTGAAAAGTGTTTTATTTCCAATAAAAATAAATATATTCTTGATTTATGTTAGTTTTCCTTGCTTTACTCTTATTGCCAGCATGTCTGAGGGATTACGAAAGAGATTACATATATGTCATAAGGGATATCATAAGGATTTGTGTTTATAAGGCCATGTATAACTTATTACAAACAAAACCCATACGGCCATCTCGTGAAGGTGGGTGAAGGCATGATGGTCATATAGAGCAAGAAATATTTAATAGAAATCATATCCAGTTAGGTACTTGTGAAGGTGAAGATACAAAGGTATGGTATATGTAAGTTACATGGTAAAGTACGTTTATGTTAAATATAAAGTGCTTTTAATTCCGTCCGTTGTTAGTCTATACTCGGGTATATATGAACGGAGAGGTCACAACTTGATTAGTTGATTACTCAGAACCATGTTGCAAGGACTTGCTTATAACGCGGAGAAGACATCATTGCGATACTAGTGGTGAGATATCAGCGGAAGGTGCATGATATCTCATGTAGATCTCTCATTCCCGAAAAATTGGACTAAAACTAAATTTTACTCACCGTTTATAGCTCTATCAATTCTAAATTGTTCTTAACTAAACCTTTGTTGAATTCCCATGCAGTAAGGGCGAACCCTAATTAATCAGTCAAGTGGTACTACTTGCACGAGGTTCAAACTACATGGCAGTACAACTCTTCTCATTTGTAACTGAGGCGAAATTAAGTAAACAGAAAACTGCATTTTACGGAACTCAAACCTTGGTTACGCGAATTAAAGGCATATACACTAAAATCGGTCTCATGCACCTCAAAGAAATGAGAAGACATGTTTGTTGGTGCTATACGGTTAACGTTTTCTTATCATTTAAACACGATTGATTACTAAAATAAACGGCAGATATTCAACAGGCTATTTGCAAGGAAGCCTTGAGGATTTGGTGTTGTGCTCCCCTATAGTGTGTACATTGTCCAACCGAGTAAAGAACTGAAGTGTTTTAAACACCAATGCATGATGATAAGGACATATAAGGTGAAGTTATTTGCGGAGTCGGATATGTCGAGTGAAAATAATTAAAAGCAGCGATTTGTCTTCCATTTTCTATTCCTGTCGGTAATCGATCAGTAAAATTTGTGTTTGTATTGAAACGTAAGCATAAAACAATTTATAAGACGCTAATTAGTATTCTGTCATATGCAATCTTGAATACAATTTTAAAAGTGCTATCTCTGGCAAGTTGAATACCAGTCGTAAAACTGGTTCGCTTTGTTGTCATGGGGTAAAATGGGCGCTGATATTTGCTATTTTTACAAAATGGAATTTCGATGATTATAGGAATGGGATTCGCCCCAGCAATGTTGCCACTGGGAATGGAACCAGAGTCGGTTTCAGTCCCATTTTCCTGGCCAAACTTTTGTCTGCAACCCACTCACCCGACCCACTGATTTATCAAATCTCATGATTCGTGAATGCTTTCGTCGAATGTAATTCTGATTTCCAAACTTGTAATTTTCAAATAATTTATCACCATGATTTATGATTTTACTACGGTATTTACTTATTGCTTCTGTTTTTGTTGAAAGATTACAGAGTCAGATTATAGAATAACTCATTATTGCAGGTTTTTTCATTTTAAAATTGTGGTTAAAATGTCTCCCCTGGACTCAGTTGAGATTTTGTTAGCACAAGTAATACAAACTATCATTTCCAAATTATAATAGCTTCAATTTCCTGTGACATTTATTCATAGTCAATACGAGATATTAACCGTCGGATATAGTTTACAAACAATGAAATAGTCAGAGAGATTAGCAAGCCAGTGTGTGAGCATGCGCAGTGAAAGTTTGTTTGAATACTAGATTATAGTGTTTGCAAAGCTCTTCAATAGCTGGGTAGATGATTAAATTTTAGGCATTTATCAATGGGCAAGAACAGAATGCCATGTCAAAGCATTTATATATTGTGTCAACAAGTTCTTCGTGTAAATTATATAAGTATACATATACGGACGAGTGTATGAAGTAATTAAAAACCGGGACAATATTACGAAAGGTGATTGCTAAATCAAGCCACACCATGCAAAATACACATCCGATATTATCCTATATATGTATTAATGGACAGAAATGTTATTAGATTAAATTAAATTAAGACTGAAAATATATTGTTTATATTGTTACAAATTCTTACTCCGTTAGTCCATTTACAGTTTTCTCGGATTTAAATTTTCCATCCAGTTATGAGTGTCTGCCAGGGGGGTCTGTGTTCCCTTGGAAATTTTCCCTTCGTTGGCTTGTTCACACAAAGATTTAACAATGTTCGCTTGTTCCCTTGTTTTTATTATGATTTTCGGCTTTGTTCCGTGTTCTCATAGTTGGCCTTCAGGGGCCGGTTGTATAAAACTCTTAATCACTTTTTTAATCACTATTTTGTAGTTAAATAGTGATTAACTCTCAAATAGGCGCTTCTTATTGGATGACGTTCGCACTTAACCATAGTTAACTTTAATCACTTTTTTATACAACCGGCCCCAGCTCCGTAGCTAAATACATTGTAACATTGACACTTCAATGAAGTTATTATGCCTTGTTCCCTAATTGGCCCTAGAAAACTCTGGGAGAATTTTCTACAGTGACGATAATATATTCAGAATTTATTGAAGCGCCCCCCCCCCCCCCCCCCCGTCGCCAAAAAAATTTCGGTCAGTGTACCATTTTAGGGGTCAAAAAAATTTTCCGGACAAACAATTTTTCCGGAGCATAACATAAATTTTCGAAAAAAACAAAATTTGCCAAAAAATTGAATTAATTTTAGACAAAATTGACAGAATTTGACCCATTTTTTTTTATTGCAAACCAAAATTGCCCGACTGTTCATCGAATATTGCCCGACAAATGCTGACTATGCACTAATTTTTACCGAGGAGTGGAGACGTGTTGGGGAGCAGAAAATATTGGATTTTTGTTTTGTTTCGATGTATTTTCCACCATGAAGGGAATATATACAGACCACCTAATGGAATTATACATATTGGGGGTTTATATTTAGTTATATCGTTAATATTCGTCAAAATACAACCTATTTCGGTCTCGTATTACATGTATCAATTTTCATGTATGATGTAAACATGATCGAGTCGAAATGATAAAAGGAACAAGAACGACATGTGACATGTCTAAACGGCGGTGTGTGTCTGTTTACTGGGTTACAACAACGGCAATAACAATGAATCACCTAATATTTCAAGAAAATATAAATTATAGATAGATGTCATGCATGACCCCATGAGTTTTGTATTTGAATTGCTAGATTTAAATCTATATTATGTATACAAAATCATGCGTGCGTAAATTTGAGCAAAAAAGCGCAAGGTGTTTGTTTGGCCATATGTCCATCATGTAGTATGAATATTGAACACCGTTTTATATAGCACGTTTAAAACGTTACTTCCATGCCGGATAATCCTGAATCCTTCACCGATTACATGCGTGGCAAATGACGAAAAATAATTATGTAAAATAATTAACCTAATATGTCTTTGGCCATGAATGCAACTCACTATGCTGCTTTATACATCTGACAGTCAAAACTATGTGCATGACTGTATGGCCCAATGTATGTTAATTGTTTCAGGGAAATTTTTGTGTTCAGATTAAAGTACTGTATAACAATATTTTCTGCATTCCAATATATTTTCTACATGCAAGTGCACATTCTGTTTCAGATAGGGGCCAAATGGGATAGCCAATGATTGGAGGGTAGTGTTAGCAAATTTGACTCCCTTACATAATGTCAAGTTATCACTGGTCAATTTTTAAATTTCTTACAATTTCACATCAGGGAGTAATTCATTCTCCCCCCCCCCCTCCAATTTTCCAGAAGTGTGACTAAGCATTTTCTAGTAGCTATCCATATGTCCAATCTAAATCTCCACCACAACAGGATGTATACCTGAGTGATGGTAAGGGAGGTGGGGTTAAAATTCTGATTTATCAATATATTACTACACATTTCCACATTAAAAATATGAAAAGTTTTCCAGTTCAATATATCTATAGCAGGAGACTTAAACCAGAATTTCAGAATACAAAGCAACTTTTATGTCATTTTTGTAATGGTTTGTTTAAAATCAATTTTTATACA